AATTGTTCCTCTGTCCCAATGGTTCTTTTGTGCAGGACTCTGTGGTGCTCAGCTTGGCCATTACTCCTTTTCATCTACAAGGTCATGACTGTTTTAAGCTGTCTTGGCACCAGTGGGCACCACAACTCTTAACTTGGTGATTTCTCATCTAAGCAGTACTAAGGGCTTTGAGTTTTCCCACTCAAAGTGGCACAAAATTGAGATTTAAGTGAGAATTTCGGTACCATATTTATTACAAAAGATAAAGACACTGTCAGGCTTCTAATAACAGAATTTGTATCTGTTCCTCTACCTTATGAATTTCATTATCAAGCGGTCAACCAAAAATTGCAGAGGATTAATCAGTAGCTGAGGACAGCAGGATTTTGCAATTTTGCAGATAACATCTCTAGTGGGAAGAGCAGAGTGGGATGAACCTGGATGTATAGAATTAACATGGTATGAATGTAATATTATAGTTACCTCTGACACTGCTGTCTCTTCCTTGTCTTGGAAGACGAAGTCAATATGAATCCCTCAAAACTAAGACCAAGAGGCCTCCACTGAGAAGTATGGCTGCCCACCTATTTTGATAGATGATCTTGATAGATAGACTTATTTTGACAGATGATGAGTGTGATTTCAACTTTGCACTGTGCAAAAAGCCTGTCCCTAGATTGAATTCAAAGTGTTAGTTTTGACATTAAAAAATCCTTTAATGGGTAGTTATTGAAACCCTGTTGACATGACTCATAATTACAAGAGAATCAAAATTATACCGAATTACACTGAAATACAATGCACAATTTGTGGTGGATATTTAGCTTTGTGCTTCGGAGTTCTTACACATCCTCATTCGAGCACAGGGATGGGATTGCATGCTACAATGTAAGAAAGATAAAAAGCTAATTAGAGAGTGTCCAAAGGAGGGCAACAAATTCAGCGAAGGGCCTTGATGCGAGGCCATATGAGGAGCAGCTCAAGTCACTTGGTCTGCTCAGCCTGGAGAAGGGGAGACTGAGGGGAGACCTCATTGCATGTACAATCTCCTCGTGAGGGGAAAAGAAGGGGCAGAAACGGATCTCTTCTCTCTGGGGAGCAGCTAACCTAAGGGAATGGCCTGAAGTTGTATAAGGAGAGGTTTAGGTGGATATCAGGAAAGGGTTCTTCACCCAGAGGGTGGTTGAGCACTGGAAAGGGCTACCCAGGGAAGTGGTCACAGCATCAAGCCTGACAGAGTTCAAGAAGCATTTGGCCAATACTGTTGGGCACATCTGACTCTTGAATATGGTCCTGCAAAGGGCCAGGAGTTGGTCTTGATGATCTCTGTGGATCCCTTCCAACCCAGCATATTTTGTGATTTAGTATAACTACTTCTTTTAATACAGCTGACAGGACCACAGACCTCTGTTCCTTTCTCTTTACTCTGGTGAATGCTGCAAGTTTACCTTGGCACAGACACTACCTGAGATACCCAATTCAGGAGCACAAGAAATGGTGCAGAGATGAAATCCCACCTCTAAATTCTCCCACTCCTTCCCCTAAAAAACCAAAACACAAGCCTGACAACCAAATAATCAGACCTTAGACAGATAGAATTGCCCTCAGAAAATGCTTGCAGTCAGTCTCCACTGACTTGACAGGGAGAAGTACTCAGAAGTTGTAAGGTGACTTTCAGGTAAGCAGTTTGTTCCTCTCAAATGCAAATGTATTAAGCAGGAAGTTGATGGTTGTAGTCATGACCCCTACAGAGTGGTTCTATTAATCTTCCTACTTCAATGGCTTTTTGACAATTTGGCCATTCATCTGGTGGAGACATGGGAGAAGTGGGCCCTGGAGGACAGCCAGCATTATGGAGTTGGCCTGATGCAACCAGAATAATTATTCAAGTGGATGGTCTGATACAACTAAATATGTGTTTTATTATATATAAATATGCCAATATCCTGGCATGTTTTCAAACTGTGCTAAGCCAAAAGAGTCTTGGGGAATTGTTACACCAGATGTTGTCCATCTCTCCCTTGGATGTACTTCTTGAGGCAATCTGAAAAGACTGGGTTCTCAGTGACTGGGGCTGACTTGGCTTGGAATTTCATGGGCATCTGATTTGTTTCCCCTAAGTGTATGTTGTGCTTTTTTTAAGAGGGACCTCTTGGAGGAAGGGGAGGTTATTCCTTTCCCAAAGGGCACTGAGCGTGCTCAAAGAGAGAAGGTCAAGAGACTGCAGGATGCACAGAGAAGGTAAGTTATAGAAGGGGGTCTGGACATCATGCATGGTTTGGTTTAGAAGATGAAAACAAAGATGAGAGAGCAGGCCAGTAGGCTTTGGAAGAGAAGGCAGGAATTTCTAGAGGACCAGAGCAGACAAAACAGAATTTCCATCCAATCAGAAATCTGTCAAGTTAGCTGCAATCATGGACTACCCTTCAAAACACATTGGACTTCTAACAACTCTGTAAAGAATTCAATTTCTCTTTATGTCTTCTTTGTCTCTTTTTCTAAAAAGCTAAGATTTTAGGTTTCAGTTTTCATTCAGACAAAACTTTTATTTCTGAGTAGTGTAATGCAGATATGCAATAACCTAACTTTGAAAGAATCATCCAAGGGAAAAAAAGTACTTTGGCATATTGTAAACAAACAATTGTACTAATCTCAGCAGAGAAATACAAGAAGCCTATAATAGGACATTTATATCATCTTAAAACCACTCATAAGGTACTCACTGGAGTGATTTAAATCTACAGTCACAAAAGTATTTTATGGAACATAAAGCAAGCAGTCCCTTTCCTCACCTCTTTCTTACTGCTCCACTGCAAGTAAAAGGAAAAATCTCATTTCGCTCTGTTCCTTGCTGCATGAAGCCAGCAAGCTTCCTGACAATTTCCCTGGTATTATTCTGGCTGCTAAGCTCGAACATAGTTCTGAACCCCAGGCATTTTATGAGGCCTGCAGTGATTTAAAAATGCCAACGCCTGATGTTTACATGGAACAAGTCCTGATTTTTTTGAATTTGACTAAAATTCCATTCACCTGCAGCTACAGAAACTAAAGCAATAGGTTGGGCAGTGGGAACAATTTTCCCATGGGCTTTGTGGAAATTATGCTATGTTTCTTTTTTGCAAGAGCTATGAATATCTGCTGAGTATGTTACTGCTCTTTCATTAAATGGAATCACTTTTAATTCCTTTATTATTATTGCATTTGGATGTAAAATACATATCTGTAGAAGATCTGGGTGCACATTACAAAATTTAGATCAGAATTAGGCAACCATTTCTGTGACAACCCCCACATAGCACCAAAATAGCTGCTCTGAAAAGAAGTGATATGAGGCACATGATTAAATGTCAGTGAATTCTAAAGACTGTTTCTACTAGGGAGCACAAAGAAAGTGATCTTGCATTGTGCTCCAAAATGTCTCTACCCTGTAAGCTGATCTTCACAGACTGATGGTTCTTGTGCTGTGCGTTGGCCCTTTGACTCTTTCTGACTTCAGAAGGTGTGCATGTCCATTTGTGTGATCAAGGTGCACGATCTAGGCTGAAACAGCCTGCCCTGGGGAATGCTCTGCAGTCCATCTCTTCGCTTTCAGCCTCAGGGTGCAGCATGCTGCAAAGGGGGAAGGTTAAAACAGGTCTGAGATAATGAGTATGGAGACAAAACAGGTTATACATTTCACCCAGACTAGAACTGGTAGCCAAAGAAGTGAGTGTAGATGTGAAGCTCTCTTGTCACTATTTCTTGATGATCTGGGCAAACATATTCTGTTATCAGAAAACATGGCACAAGAGCCTTCACATGCAGGTTACTCAGGCTCGTGACAGGCCACTCGCTAATGCAGATTTGAAGGCTGGTTTTCTATTTCTAATTGAAAGTATTGGGCTTGTACACTGTAGTAAGTAAATAGTTTTCTAAATGCACTGTATTTACAGGACAACTTTCATCAACTGCAGTACATTTCTAAAATTTGCACACATTTTCTTAAGAAACTTATGTGAACTTTATGGCATCTTTTTATCCCTTTCAGCTTTGCAGTCCCCACTGGTCTTTCCACATACCATATTCCCAATATAGTTACTCTCCAGTATTTATTAAGATACATTATGGATTAATCTTCTGTTCTAGAAACACTAGAGAGCCTGAATAAAAATCAAAATCCTTAGTGATGCTCACCAATGGTCACTTGAATAAACAGAAGTCTCTTGAGCATGCAAGACTCCTTATCACATTACTTGGTATGCTGAGCAAGTAACTATCTTACTGTACTTTCAACTACAGACAGATTTGCACTCTTCTGCCTGGAAAAAACAACATTCTTAATGCAAGCCACATGAAATAGTTGCCTGTACACACCTTGCAAACACAGATTTACACTGTGAACACCCCCTGATTACAGGCTGGCTGTTCTGTTGACGCCGTGGTCAGGAAGAGCAGCTGCAGTGTGCTGTAACTTACTTTAGCTAAGAGTAATTCCTCTGCCTGAGACCTCACATATAATTCACAGGTCTAGATGTATTAAACCCGCAATTAAGATCAAAAGAACACATTGTAGTGGATAAAATATGGGGTGTGTCATCTTTCAAACTACAGGCTGGAAATTTTAAGACTACATGCTGAAGTTTGTCTCTTCAGATACTCAGGCAACTTTGTATAAGCTGCTTGGGTTTTAAAAGTACCTAGCAATCTCTTTTTTATTTGTGAGTGTTTAGTATTACTGACAAGTAGGCCACCTATGTGCAAGTGCCTTAATATGGACTGAGAAAACTAGGTTTTGGCACCCAGATACAAATGCTGTGTCTGTGAAGTTTCTCTTTATTGGGAAAAATCTTTCTTTTTTTGCTATTTTTTCTTCTCTCTCTCTCTCCTCTGACTGTAAGCTATTTTGCACGTGTAACATTGCTTTATCCCCCTCTTTGTTCTGATGTTTGCATATACTTCCCAGGAAAATGAACACAATAAAAGTTTACAGTATTTCTTGAGTTTCACCATAATGTCCCATTCTAAAATGGAAGAAAAACAAATACAGACAAGCTGGCAAATTTTTAATCCATAACTAATATAAGAATCTACTACTGGGAATAATAATAAAATACATATTTTAAACTTCAGACTGCAAGCAAAAACAAAGGCTTCCTACCCCAATACAATTCTACCATAACAATCTTGTCCTTGGTTCTGAAGATATCTTAATAAAAAATTGAATATGCCTCTGATTTTTAAAATTCAAAACATATTTGATCATTTTAGTCGCAGACAGTACTAGAAAGGCTTCAGTAGTAGTCCTGCTTTTTAACATTTTATTAATTTAGAAATTCATACTCTCTGAAGTTGCCAAAAATTTTTCATTCTGCAGTCGGTTTTGTTTAAAGTATGAAAAAAGCCCTGATGGCAGAATCGGGGTTGCCTTTGAGAAAGAGGGTGGTTGAGTTTTTACTTTTCCTCAATTTTCCTTTTATTGTAAATAAATTTTAAGCACAGGTACTTGCACATTAGCATTCCAAATTTCTTTTTTTCTGGTTCATCTCTATATATTATGATTTGTGAAGTTATATTTATTCAACCAACACTTAAACATGTGCTTAACTTTGTGATTGTTTCAAGTTATATTTTAGATTAAGTGAAGCCATGAATAGGGCTGATTATAAGCATGTCTAACTTTTTCTTGAATTGGTTCCATTTGTCAGTAAAAGAGCAACTGTAGATAACAGCCCTTTCCATATTCTGATTTGAATATTTCATACCTACCCATTCCAGAAAAGTGAATAATTTTTAATAAAGATAATTTCATTTTAAAATAACTAATGCATTAGCATTGTCTTATTCATCAAAGTAGAAAATGTTGTCTAAGATCCTCTTCCTTATCTTGATCTCATCTGTGTATTGCGGCATAGACAAATATTCTATTTAATGGTGTTTTTTTATGCTACAGGTTCAATAGACTGCCTTTTCAGTAAAAAATACCAAAATTTTCAGTTCATAATAGCAACCAGTAGTTTTTATTAACTGTCTTGATAACAGATCTGCTTATATAGATTTGATTACATATGTGTGGCTTCAGCAGAATTGTTGCATCCGTTGCAATATTCTTGCTTATATTGTTCTATGCAATTCAGTATCCTTTAGGCTTCTAGATTTTTTTCTTAATTGGCAAGAAAGAAAATTTTATCTGTGATTTAAATTTTCTATCTATGATCTAATTTTGCACTTTGACATACCATATCCACCATACTATATTATTCAGCAAAACTGAAAATATACAGGATTTAGCACTCTGTATGGGTCATTATAAAATAGTCCTGAAAAAACTCTATTTGACACAGGTGCCAAAAATGACACGTAGAAGCTGGTGCACAGATTCAACGTAAGCAGATGGACTTCTAGATAATGCTGTAAATACAGACATGGAGAAAATCTGTAAGGATTAAAATATGTTTATATAGAATTGTATAGTGTTGGTAAGCACCAGGATATAGAAATGTATTCTAAAAAAATGTGTTTCAAAGGCTCAAGGCTGAAAAAAAGAATACAATGGTTTAAAATACAAGTACCCAGAGTATTACAGGACTTATGACAGAATCATAACCAACTATCTTTAGAAATATCAATCTGTAAGTAGAAGATCACAATGACATAATATTTTCCCTTAAAACTTTGCATCACCAGCTATGTATTAACACCGCCTTACTCAATGGATTTTATTATCACATTTCTCTACACATTGTTGCCATTTGGATATGAGTAATATCAAGCGCTGCAGAAAAGTCATAGAACCTTCAGCTCTTATCTAAAAAAAAACATTCCAACTTGATGAATTTAAACCATTTTGAAGATGAGACACAGCACTTTAAAGTATCTTTTAAAAGACTCCAAATAATTAAAAACCCTACTTGATTAGTCTTAATAAATTACAGTGATGAGTTTTTAATTCAGTGAGAGAAAAACTTGTGAGACCTACAGAAGTATTCAAATATTATGTGCTTGGTTTAGGATTCTACCTGTCTTCATTTAAATTATCTGGGATCAAATTTGATGCATCTTATAAATTACAAGAATTACTATTGGTCCACCTGCAGGGCTAAATGTTTGTGCTGTTTGGTATCCAGGAAATCCCAAATCATCTTCTTCTGAGGTTTATTTAGTGCCTCAGAAGAAAAAAAAAAAAATCTCAGAACTCAGGAACAAAAAAATAAGAGTTCCTTTATGTCAGTTGTAAAGATATATACAATGCATCTTCATATCAGATTCTCTAGGACCAAAAAAATAGGGTTTTTAAAAAATTAAGTCTTTACAGTGACTGGTTTTACAGATTACTTGGTTTTAAAGTTTAGATAGTGTAGCATTCCTGTCTGCATTACATATGTCTGCCATTTCCTTTAGAACAGGGAGCATCATAAAATGACACAGATTTCCTTCTTCTCAAAATGCCTATGGAACTGCCATACTATATGAATTTAAGGCTTTTACTGGCCCACAGTCTACACAAGGATATCTATGATTACACAAAGCATTAGTATTAAGTGTCCTAATTTGATTACTCTGGCCAGGCATAATAAAAAGATAATATTACATGGTAATAAAGCATCCTCAAAAAGCTGTATTTACTATGCTATTCTAACAAAAAGGTAAAAAGCCAGGTAAGAATTCAGCCAGGAACTGATGTCAGATTCCTGCTTTAAGATTAGGAATGTTCATGTTCAATTATTGTTTGTTACTGAGATACTGAGTACACGTTGGTTTGCTGTCTCTGGCTGCCTGTTCTCATTCGGTGTTTAAAGGTACCTTTGTCACATTCAAATGGGTTTTACTTCACCTGACTTTAGTCCTCTAGTCAAAGGTAGGCATCTGTGCTTCCTTTCACTGGAGTTAACAAAGAAAATAAATGACCTGAAAAAGGCAATTTATGTCACTTTTCCTAGAAAGAGAAGGTTTGGACTGATAAGTACCTGTGCACCACAAGGTAGGGTATGACTAACTGAGGCTGGATCCTGAACTTTTAGTAGTTATTGAGAAGAATTCCACCGTAGTAACTGAAAGATATGAATGCATGTGCAAGAGTGCAATCATGACACAGTCTAATTGATATTCCTGCAAATGAAGATAAATACAAATATTATTTCAATGTACAGTTGATGGCTTCAAAGCCAGTCCAAACTACACATATCAACACTCACTCTTGAAACAGAACAACGCCCACCACTTTGCTTCTTCGGGTAGGCAAATTTTAATCTTTTACTATGAGACTGACAGTTTTGTATCCAGTTGCCATGACAGCAGAAGCCAAAGAACCATGAACCAAAGTTCACTCTCCATACCCCAGCCTCCTTCCCCATGCGTGATTTTCACATTCACAGCTCCAAAAGGTTACCAGCATTTAGCACAGTAGGAAGGACACTTGTCCAGGCTCTCTTTTCATGTCTCACATCTGGGAGCAAGACTCCTGAGATACTGCTATTAATGGACCTCCAGCATGTTGGCTGGTCCAAGAGTATCTTCACAGGCATTCTGGAAAATTTGCAATGTCGCAATAGCTTCTGCCTAGGAAAACAAAAATATAAAAGTAACTATAAATACAGCAATATGGCACGAATCTCTTTGGAAAGCCACAGAAAGGAGATAATTTCAGCTTCATTTCAAATTTTAATGACTTTCATAAAGGCCTATGATTTTGGGTACACACCCTGTGTTTACAATACTGTTGTTTATAAACAACAATCTTTTTTACTTCTTAGTCATTGTTTTGCTAGGCAAAACTCTTTACTTTCATAAGACTGACTCTTCATTACCTTTAACATTCCTGCACCTGCTCTCATTTTTCATAAATGTACTTTTTGAATAAGCTGAGCATGGTATTTCTGATCTTATGCTTTCTGCTTTTCTGCATATCTCTGCTGGAAATACTTCAGCCAGTATATCCTAGGATCACATTTGCCTTTCCACTGAAAGACCCTGAAACCACAGAAATTCCAGTGACCCCTTAGAATTTCTTCATTTCTCTGGCACTCACCACTATGGTTTAAGGCACCTTTATGTGAGAAACCTTGAAGCATGAAGTGCTCAAGATGAGAACCCTGTTTGATATGGAACATATGTGCTTAATTTTATATATGGTGTATCATTTCATCAGCTTCATTTAGCTTTGTAGGATCCTGGCCTATCTCCTCAGTCTATAAATAAATAATGACAGATTTATAAATAAATCAGTTTCTAACCAGCTGAAACTGTGTTATCTTTGTAGCTTTTACCAATCAATGGAGCAGCGTGAATGACAGGCACAGGTTCTGCAGTTTTAAAAAAACCTAGTATAACAATAAATAAATAGAGTACACGTAAGTACCACATAAATATTTTGATGCACTAGAATAAAATATTTCATATGGTGTTTCAGAATATGCCCAAGCCATTTACATCTATGCTAGGCCAGCAAGTGTTTTTTAGCTGGCAGTTCAATGTTCTCCCAATATAAATAGATAATCAATCATTCTTTGCTGCTATTGTTTTAAAGAATAGTTTGAAACCCAATTCACACTGAGTGTTAGTACGGCCTGTTCTTCTTGTTCTCTTATCAATACAAGTTTTAATATTAAAAAAAGTGCATTGTTTTAATCTGGCTGCAGGAGTGTATGTGTTGAGCTCTACTGTAATTTTTCAAGTTCTTGGTTGGTGGGAGGGTGCAGGTGCAAGCCTGCAGAAGAGACTGAAACTCTGTGAAGGCACAAAGTAAAGCACATATCAATCCATTCAGAGAACAAACACACAAATGAAAACACTTAAGTGGAGAAAATCCATTCCCATACTGAGAATAATTGTATTACAGTGCACAGTTTGTGTGGATTTGAATTTCATCTGCCTTCCTGTTCTGCTCACTCAGAGAAAACTCATGGAGACCTAAACTCTAGTGCCTCATTTAAAACCTAATGCAGGACACAAGTATAAGGCAACGTATCTGTTCTTGTTTTTGGGTCAGGAGCCCTAGATTTATCATTTTTCCACAAGATGTGGTAGGAAGAATGCTTAACTTTAATTATGTTACCACAAACCAGCCTTGCCATGTTCCTGCCACAACGAGGACTCCGTTCGTTCAGGTCTCTTTCCTGGCATCTGTAGACAGGTCACAGGACAGTGCCAGAAGCCAGGCAGTGGATTTCGGTCCGCCACCGATGAGCACCCAGTGCGAGGGCTGAAAGCCAAAAGGCCCTTGCTCACCCTGGAGGACTGCATGGAGCAGTGAGATCGTCGAAGCAAAGACGGCTCTCTGCTTTCCCAAGTTTTTGTTTGCAAGGCCCAGGGTGCTGCTCCCGGACTGGGGAGGTGTTGCCTCCTACTTACCAGGGCTCCCTTCCCCTCTCGCTCAGCGCTCCGGTCCCTGCCCGGGGGAACCGCAGCCGTGCCCATCGCATCCCGGCCCCTCGCCCTCCCTCCCGGCCCCGCGGCTCCGGGCGGCCCTGTGGGGAGCCCTGGGCTCGGCCCGGCGGCCGCGGCGCCGCCTCGGGCTGGAGCGGGCGATCGGCGCTCGGCCCCCGGAGCGGACACGCCGGGACGGGCGGGAGGAGAGTCGCCCCGATAAACCCGCGCTCTCCTCAGCACCCCCTGAGGCCGCCTCCCTCCTCTGGGTACTGCAGAGGGGCCTCCCGCCCCGGCTCCCGGAGCACAGGCTGCGGGCAGCGCTCTGCCGGGCGGCCCCGCGCCCGCTCCGCTCCGGACTCACCCCGGCAGAGCGCCGGGCAGGCGGGGAGCGGGGCGGGGGGAGCGGAGGGGGAGGGAGGGCTGCGCGCAGAGGAGCGCCGGTCCTGCGAGATGCTGCACGCCCAGCTCCCCGCCGGAGGGGGGTAGCAGCCGCTGTCTCCGCCGGCTCCTGCTTTTTTGCAAGGGCTGTTGCTGCCGCTGGACGCAACCTTCTCCCGACATGGAACTGCTGCCGCCGCCGCCGCCGCTGCTGGAGTGAGTGTGACGGGCAGAGCTAGCCGGCCGCATGGATGGATGTGTTTAGCTTTGTGAAGATTGGGAAGCTCTCCGGGTAGGTGTTTGCCGCCGCCACCGCCGCTGCTCCGCGAACCGCGGGCATCCCGCGGCCGCGGGCGCTGCCCGTGCCCTGCGGGGGCAGGGAGGGATGGGGCTGCCCGGCCAGGCGAGCGCCCGCGCCGCTCCCAACTTCTCTGGCAGCGGGGCTCGGGGCTCGGTGTCGGGGTGGGGCGGTGGGGCTCGCTGTCCGTGTCCGTGCATCTGCCCGGGCCGGGCCGATGTCCCTGCGCGGGATGGGTCATCCCGCTCTCCCTTGTGAAGGGACAATGAACTGCGGCCGCAGTTGGACGACAGCGGTGCCCTCCTTGAGACGCCGGCCAGAATGGGCGGTCAGAGCGCTCCTGAAAATGCAAGAGCGGCGACAGGAGCCGGCACCGGGCGCGGTGGCGGTGGCGGAGGGGTGTGTTGGTGTGCGGGGGGTGGTGGCCGCGGTGCGGGTATGGGTGATCTGCGGGAGCGGGGGGAAGTTCCGAGGAGCCAGCAGCGCCTGGCCGGGCCGCGCCGCCGGGAAGGGTCTCGCCCTGCCCCTCCGCTCCGCTCCCGCGGTACCTCGGGCACACCGGCTCCTTCAGGAGCCGTATTTTCGGAGAAGTGGTGAAATCGTCGCCCCTCGCATCGTTTGTGAGCGCTGCCCTTCCGCCGTTTCACACGGTGATGGGTGCAGGGGCGCGAGTGGATTTGGAGTCTCTTATCCCTGGCTCGTAAGGCTCGTACTTCTCGTTGTTTAAATGTGCGGTTGATTTGTATTATTTTTCTCTATTTCTTTGTTTTCCGAATAAACCTTGTCTTGAATGGCCTCAGAGTTGTGGTCTCAGCCTGTGGACTGTTGCGTTCGCAGCGGTTGCCAGGCCTGGAACTGCATAGATAGATCAAGAGGCACAGCATCCCCTGTTACAATGTTCCCACCGTAGTTAAGCGTAACTGGACGTAGCCCTTCGCAGTTACACGGGGGATTGTGCTTTATCTCAAAGATGCAGTATGAAAGTACTTGAATCACATTTCTTTTTCAGGGTTCTGGTGAGGATAATCTTCCTAAAGGATTTAGCTTTGATCACTGTAACTAGGAATGTTTCAAATTCTTATGATTCACTGGTTCCTACTCCATAGTTACCATATCCTTTTCTGTTTATGAGGCACACATGAGGCAGAAATTGGATGGTGTACAAAAGGGAGAAAGGCCTTGGTAAGGAAATAAAAAAGTGGCTGCTCCAGTGACGGTCAGGCAGGGAGCTTGTCAAAATGACAGATGGTCTGTAAAGAACAAATACTGCATGGCCAGAAGTTACAGAGTGCCACAGGTGCAGGCACTGCCTTTATCCCCCGAAATTCCCACCATCGCACCTGGCTGTGATTACAGCTCTGCTTGTGGCATGCCAGCACAGAACAGAACAGCTGCTGTCATTCAAGCACATCATTGTCTCATCCTGCTCACAGCAATTTTACACCATGTGACAATGACAATACAAGCAGCCCCCTCGGCTTGCCTTGGGTGGTGTTACTGGCTGATACCGCTAGAGCTGCAGCAGCAGGAACTACAGCGGGAACTTTGAGGAGATGGAAAATATGCTCACATAGATAAGGAATAGGTCATGTAGTATGATATTTATTTCCAGGTAACTGATTTGTGTGACCTTCTCCATTTTTTTTTTTTTTTTGGAAAGGATATTTTAGAAAAACTCCCAGGTCTTCACGTCACACTTGGTCTAGAATCAAAGACAGAGAAAGGGATGTGTCATTCAAAAATTTTATTATGTCAGGTGCATGGCAATTTTTAGATATATATATTGAAAGCTTGGGTCTTTCTTGGTGTGTACAAAATTTGTAGCTTTCTGCATACTTGAAGTCAGAGCTAATATTTGTATTTAAGTAAAGATAGATCACAGAAATACTTCAGAAGAACCTGAAGGTTCCTTGTGAAATGAAATTGCAAATTTCAAAGCTTGCATCTGTCTCTGCGTAATTTAAGGATGTGAAATACTTACAGCCTGTATTTATCTTGTAGATTGCAGTAAATGATTTCTGTTCTGAGCTGCACTTTTTATTTCTAATTTTCTGGTTGTTAAAAGACATAATAGTTTACAGGACTTGACTTTACTTGCTGTTACCTAGGTTACAGCCAGGTATCTATTCCAGTTTTATGAGAGCTTAATGAAGAAGACAGGTTCCAGTGTAAACCCCATTTTTAGTCCTTTTGTGCATTTGGGTTGGAAAACTAGTTTGCCCAAAAATACCAATTGTTTGCTGTTAGAAGGAAGGCCTTTCTGAAGAAAATATTTAACTGAGAATGTGATCTTACATTTAACTTAGAATGTGATCTTACAGGCAGATTACCTACAGAAAGTTGTTTTGAACATGGCTGGTGCTGAACCTCGTTTTAATTTTATTTTGTTGTACATTCAGATCTCCTCATTTTAAGTTGCAAGTCTTTTACTACAGTTTTAGTCTGCAGCCTTGATTTTGCAGGCAGTGGCACACCTAAAATCTGTTATAGATGATTACTGGAAGGGATGCTTCCTGAAGTAATGATATAATTTTAATATATCTGGTAAGAATTTAAATTTTTTTCTCAATCAATTAACAGATGAATTTTTAAAATCTGGAATAAATTTAAGATGGGGTTTAAAGTCCTAGAAGGTGGCTACTGGATATAAAATTTTACATAGCATACATAATTTTTTATGTTTTAATTGTCTATTTGGGTTTTTTATGTGATACCTTTGTGTTTAGGGTCTTTTAGAAACTCTGCTTCTACAATGGCTTCAACAATTGTCCATACTTTCTGGGTAAGTGGAAAATATGGGCATAATCTGGAAAAGGATTATGTGCAGAAATGAGAGAGAATGTCAAACTGGTTTTATGACAAATGTGATCTCTGGTAATCTTGTCCTTTCCTTGACTTTGTAGGTCTGTCACATTGTGTACTATGCATAAACATATAGATGCTTTGTGATAAAGTTTCTGTTGGAAGTTTGGAGATACCCATCAGACACTGAAACCAAAAATACCACGCAAAAATAGTAGTCACACTTTCCCTGACATAGCCTCTCCCCCATCCCATTTTGGAAATTCACCAATCTGGTAGTGGTCTGGAGTAAATGTTTTGGTGTAAATCTTACGGTGTCATTCTCTGCAGGAAAAAAAACACAAACAATACCTTTTATTGTGATGAATTTCCAAGTGCAGAGAATGACTGACAAGTCTTGTTCAATGTATCAGTGCTCTGATGTGGAGCTGTACAAGGCAGATGAACATTTCTGTAGTGTGGGCAGCATAAGCATGTGTGGTGTGGCAGCATCTGTAATTTGGGACAGAGGATTAGTGCCACTGGTGAGATGCATAGCTGAGAGTTGAGGCTGGTTCAGAAGTCTGTCTTGCCTGGTATTCTCTCTCAGTTGCTTTTAGCAGCTGCTTGGAGAAACAGTAGGAGTGGTGATTCTTAAGCATAGATATGTATAGGCAGGGGAGGAAGGATGGTGCTGCTGTTCTGAACATGAAACTGTTTTCAGATCAAGGTAAATCTGAGAAAAGGGCACAGTGTCAAGTTTCTAGTTAGTACTGGACAGATGAACTGTGAAACAATAGGTCAAAATAGTGAATGGAAGTTATCGAGAATTTAAGCCTGTATTCATAGAATATATTTTTGGTTGGAATTTTTTAAAATTGGGAATGACTGTTTTTGTGATGTCTTTTGAGGTCAGTTCTATTTCAGAGCTTTCACAGCAGGAAGTATAACTTGGATATGGAAAGAGATCTGAAAGTCTGGATATCACCTGAATGTGACTGAGTGAGGCAGTGACCCTCCAGAGCTGGGATACAAAGCTCCTGTGTTTGTAGCTCTGCCAGATAACACTAGGGAGAAAATGACATGACTGTCTTCACGAGTGGCCATCAGATTCTAAGCTGTGGCAATACTGCTGAGGGTAGGGTGGGCATTTCTGTCACAGTTACATCTGTGGGAGAAGTTCTGAGCTCATAGAGTAATTTGTCACCAGAAAGAAAATCTCCAAGCAGGCCTGCAGTATGGGGTAAGAAAGTAGAAATCTAGATCTCATTGTAGCTGTTAAAATTATACCTAATGGAGAGTTAAACCCATGTAACAAGCAGGAGGATACCAGGAAGGTTTGGACCTGCCCTTAACAACCATGCCAGTTTATCATATGGGGTAGATAAATTTGTCTTACCTGGATCTTTACTTTTCTGCTCAAGTTTAGCATTGCCATCCATTATCCTTGAGTTTAAATTTATTCAATTAAAATGGGACTTGAATAGCCATGTCCTTGTTAGCCAGGCCCTTGGAAATGGCTTTAAAACAATGACAAATTAAAAATACCTTAATCCTGCAAGCTCTTCTTTTCACAGAACAGTTAAATATGATTTTTTTTTTTTTTTTCTGTGATTATGCTAAACCTGAGGCTGGGTTTCTAACTGAGAAGGAACTTCTTACCAAGTCCTTTTTCATTGGGGTGGATAAATCTCACAGTCTTATCTTTTGTGTTTATCTTTCCATAGCTGGCCATCTCTAGTCAGGTAGACTGACTTAGTACCTGCATAGATGTTTGAACTTTTGGGGTCGTGCTGCTGATAAAAGTGAAAGAAGATTAAACTGATGTGGAGCCTTACACTTGTTCTCCCCCTTTCCAGCCTTTGCAGCCTTGTGCTCAGTTTTGTTCTCTCCACATATTGTCTTTAGATGTCCTGCCAGACTGGTGTGAAAGGTTCTCTCCTAGATCTGCCTTAAAATGTAACAGACTAGAAGCTGTACCTGTATCTTCTGAGTACTAATCTCTGTTGTGTTTTTGTTTATTTGTTTTGGTTTTTGTTTGTTTGTGGTTTTTCTTTTTTTTTTAGGGAATCAGGTTGCTTGACTTCATGGTTTAATTATTTTTATGCAGCCAAGCAGATGTATGTTTTTAGATTTAAAGTTCTAAAATTAGCCTGTCTGTTGTTTATGGTTTTGTTTTTGTTTTTTTTAAAAAAATTTTAATTAATTGAGTAAGATTTTGGGATGTTTCTTTATCAGAATAGCACCTTTCTTTAGCTGTGATTTTCCTTGCCAAGTCTTTATTTTCCTGTGAAGTTTAGAAAAACTCTACATTAATGGAGAGACAACTGAAAGTGTGATTAACTTACTGATGCTGTTTTGCATATGATTTTTGGAACAATTTTTATGACTACTCTTTGAAATGACAATATCGTAGCTTGTAAGTTATTTTCAGTATTTACAAAAGATTCAGTAAGAAAGCCTATGATTATCCTTTTCACGTTCAAAGGAGGTAATTTAATTTCAAAAAGGATTTTATTATACTGGATGATA